GATACACAGACAAATTACAATAAAATTATGTTGAACATTCAGTTTCAGTGGAGAAAAAAAAACGAATCATATCCGTAAATTCGACATGATGTTCGAATCAAAAAGTGGATGTATGCAAAGTATGGAATTAGCTATATATGGCCTATGGCCAGCAGTTTCAACCAATTTTTCTTGCTACCGGAATTGCTAACACCGAATGTTTGACACGCCTTTTGACTACGTTTGTACTTTTGTCTATGCAATTTTTCAAACAGACACAAAATATTCAAATTGCATTTCGAATATAATTTAATCATTTCTAATAATAAGCATATGCAATGCATAGCTAGCAATTATTTTGTTCTCTCGAAAATTTTCATTTTCATCAAATTACTGGACCAAATAACTCGAATAATCACCGACTGCAATGTCAACACATTTTCTATTATAAGCGAGAAGAGGCAGAGAGAGAGAGAGAGAGAGAGAGAAGAAAAATGGTCACAAATGTCACGGTCCACTTATTCTCTCTCTCTCTCTCTCTCTCTCTCTCTCTCCTCTCTCTCTCTCTCTCTCTCCTCTCTCTCTATCTCTCTTGATCGTGGTGCATTCAAACCGAATAAAGGAAACAATTTGATCGAAATGGTGATAGTGCAAAAACATTTTTCGCGCCTCAATGGGTCCAAGCGAGCGCACAATCGCGAAATTGATTATAATAATTATTATTTGTTGTTGTTGTTCGTGAGCAAGCAATAAGAATTGAAGCCGACAAAATTAGGCGAATCGGCTGCTAATTTTTTTCCCTTCTTTTGCTCGTGTCTGTTTTTGGTGTTAAATATAGTATGTTTTCGCAAAGTATATGTTAATTTATGTACGTTTTCCTGGCCGAGACATCTGTTATGTGTGCGTCTGGCTACACATATTTCAACGCACCTATGGCCCATTGTTCGTATTTCATATGGAGAAAAATGGCGTTAAAATACATTTGTTTTTCTGCGGTTAATTTGAATTTATCGCGGAAATATGCCGGAAAAAGAGTGTGTGTTTGTGAATTGAAAAAAAAACAAATCATAAACGGAACAAATAACCATTTTATTCAATTGATTTACTTATGTAATTTCTGTGTCGATATGTTGCCGGTGGTAATGCGGTGGCCTATTGGTATTTCATGGAAATTATCTGTTGGTACTTTTTCCCAACTTGATTGTTTAATCCAAACTTGATTTAGGTATTTTTTTTAGTATTTTTCCATATAACGATCGTTATAAGAAATTATCTAAAATAGAATGACCTATCGAGATGCAGCCTCTTTCGAAGCACAGATTAACATAAATCACGAAAATTCTATTATTGAGCTTAAATTTAAAGTGCATCTCAATCTATCATAAAATCCTTCATAATCACTTCGCAGAGGAAATCAACGCAATTTCCATTTACACACATTTCGACCGCATTCACTGAATTTCCGTTTGGTTCGTGGTTTTTAATTTCGAATGAGAAAAAAAAGGCGATCCATTCTTGAGCGTTGATCATAAATATCGAAATATCTCGAGATTGTAACAAGCGAAGCGTATCGTATTTTTCAATTGGAGCAATTAATGATGCCACATAAAATGGAATGTATATTTGATGGGCGACGTGTCTGTAGTCGGCTTTGTGTTAATATGGGCAGCGTTTATTTTATTATTATCAATAGCAAACTCACAAAAAATAGAGTTGATGAAACTTACCGTTAGTTTGATTACGACAAAAATGACAGACAAATATAACCAACGGGCTTTTTGAACGACAAGCTAGTATAATCACAGCGGGATATTGATGTGTTGAATCAACAACGAACCAAAAAAAATGGTATTTAATAATCGCGCGGAAAAAAGGCACTATTTGAAATGGGTCAAATTTATCTGTAAACGAATAATTGGTGGTAGCACGTGGTTAACCGAACTTTCCATACGGCCCAATAAACTCGAATAAAAATGCGCAAATCGTTCTATTCAATTCAATGCGAATGAAGAAAAAAATCCTTAGCTGTCAGATGTTCGTTCGCCTGTTTGTTTTGTTCATTTGACACAGAAACTCCACGAATAATGCCGCACGAGAGACATGAATAACAATTAATTTTATTTTGATGCACTGATATGCACAGTTCTCTAGTTGTTGTTTATCTGTTTCGTTGCACACCGATCGCGTGAATTGTCTTGAGTATGCCGTTCAGTCCTCCTAGTTAGACTGGTTCTGGTTGTTTTTGATCTGTCACAATTTTCATAATTGTTGTTGCGTCTGAAATGTACCGTTCTATCTATCTTACTACACACATTCCGATCGTGATCTTAAGGAAGAACAACTATTCTCAGCACACACACACACACGCGCGCCGCGTACAATTAGAAAAATCTGTACCAAGTGGAAAAGTACACTTGATACTCCGAATTCGAGTAAAATAGAAGAAACAAAAACACACCACGAGAGAGCTGACTGATAAGTGTTGACCGGTCGATAGCAAAAACTTCTTTGATTGCGAGATGAACAACGGCGGTACAGACTTGGCCGTGATCTTCTGCATTCGTCGTTGCACCTTCTCCGCAACTGCATCTATCTCTTGAGCATAAAAACCCATTTACACATACATTCGCACCGTTGCATGCGTGTGCTGTGTGTGTGTGTGTGAGCTGAGCGGAGTACTCGTCTTCAGCGCGCACAGCACAAGTGCAATTCCAATTGCCGACTTAATCCACTGCCAATTTGAATGCATTGCAATTTTATTGGTTGCCGCTGTGATTGTGCTCGCTGTTATGAGAGAATACATGCAAACCAACATAATTATGCGAAGCATATTGCAATGCAGCGCACAATCAAGACGTGAAAACTCTCTCTTTTCGACGATTCACACACAAATATATTTTTTTGATATTTTTATTCAGTGTTTACACTGATACCGAACTATTAACAACGCAGATTATATGCAACGGACGATAATTAAGTGGAAGAGTGTTGATTATTTTTGACCAACGGCTATATGTTTGCTTTTGATTTTATTTCAGTTTTAGTTTCAATTTGGTTTTGATACTATTCAACCACTAATCGGGATTGTTTTGGAAAATTTCATTTGAATCTAGATATAAATGTTTTGGTAATGTCAAGATGAATTTGATTTTTAATTCCGTTTTTGAATTAGAATAGATTTTGTACCCAACATTTTTCAGGTAGATTTTCTTCGTTGGAAATAAAAAAAATTTCTTCTAGCGATTTACGATGCATTTAACCTCCGTTTTTTCTTAAATAGACCAATTTCAATGAATAACTTAATAACATTGATTTGAAAAACCGTTTAAAAACGAGATATTATGCCAGAGATGGTTTTTATTGGTTTTTCATTAAATGTGAAATTCTCTTTATCAAATATAGAATTATTGATCATTGATCAATAAAATCATAATTCCAGTTTATTGATTCGTTTCCATTATTCAATGGAAAAAAAACTACCGTTTTTCGGTTTTTAGCTTAGCGGCACACTTAATATCCGCTCGCTGACCCAACTTATGCTAATTCTTGTAATCGTCACTTGAAACGCATGTAATTAGCTTAAAACGTCATAGAATTAAGTGCATGATATGTAATATTCCATACATGAAAAAAAATGAGAGATGGAGAGAAACGGCAAACTCTGAAGACTGCTTTTTCCGAATAAACTATTTATTCGTTTATTATTTACAGCGCCGCAAATATTTTGCACTACATTAGCAACAATGTTTGATTCAAATTTACGGATTCTCAAACAAAAAGTGATTTAAATTAAACTTACCGGAATTGTACGGATTCGCAATCGCTACTGATGGCTTCGCCGGAACTGGTGCATTCACCGCCTCCACTAGCATCGCCGTTGCCAATGATTAGCTTTTTATCGTCGCTTCTGTCGTTGCATTTGGAGCCGCATGATGAATCTTCGCATTGGTTGCATCGATTGAAGCTGAAGCTCGATGTGCACAGTGTGCAAAATGAATCAAGCCCATTCGCGCTGTGCGCATCGACCATCGTTTGACCGCAGTCGCTATAACTGCAAAGGCAATCATCGGTTTCCGTTTCTCGCACCGACGAATCGGACAGCGGAGAATCGGTGAACGATGACATTCCCTCAACAGTCGAAGCGACCCGTTCATCTAATGAACTGTTGTCGAAAAAGTCGGAATTTCGATGGTTTGAAATGCTTGGCAAATGACTCTCATTCACGGAAAATCGACTAAAAGATTTTCCGAGGGGAGATGGTGACAGTGATTGTTTCATTCCTCCCTTGGTCGTATCAATCCATTCGTACAACGGTTGCGATTGCTGTTGCGGTTGCTTGGTGGTTCGCGAAACATTGGCATTCGGATTGAAGTTGCCGGTTGGGCAACGCGAAAATTTTATCGTACTGCATCGACTTGTCATCGACACATTTTCATTTAGGTAAATTCTATTCATATCGCTATATCTATGGTGCATGTACTGGGGATAATTGCGACCTGACATCTCTTTCAGGTTTTTCTTCTGTCTTGTTCCGTTCGTCGTGATTCGCATAAGGTCCAAAAAACACATTTTCAAATCGAACATTTTGTTAGTGAAATTTTCTGTTTCCGATGCTATGGTTAAAGGTTGCACTGTGCTCATATTGCTAAGAACATTATCGTTGATGTCATCTTCCAATCGATTTTGCATTAAATTTTCGAAGGCTAAAAAGGGAGAATGAAAGAGAAGGATTTATTTGTTGATAATTTGCCTGGTTTCAGCATTGATGTAATATTTTTATTGTAAGAGAGTAAGAAATTAAAAACGATATTCGAACAGTATAAAATTTCAAACAAAAGAAAAGATCCAAAAGCAAATCTTTATTCAAAAATTAAATCAAAACAAAATTTGAGCCCAAACTTAAAGCAAACGTTGCTAAATCTATTCACCGCTAGGTGGCGTTTTTAACTGAAATCTAGTCGTTCACTGCAAACAGAGAATGAACTCAATACGAAATGTCGATGTCATTCACCGCTCCTCAACATGTTGCGAACCTCTCTTGTCAAACTACATGTGTTTTCAAAGTAAGCAAAACAATTCGGCATCCGATAGCGAGTGTAATAGTTTAGTATAAGAATCATTTGGATAAAAATAATGAGTTCACAACGTGGTTCGGGTCAAACGCGAAAGCGTGCCCAAAAGCACAAAAATTCGTTTGCATTCAAAAATGATTTGCACGACAAAACGCCGCAAATGAAGAAAATGAACTCGTTGAATGTTTGCGAGGTGTGCGAACGTTGTAAGGCGCAAATCGAATGGCGAATCAAGTATAAGAAGTATAAACCATTGTCACAAGCCAAAACATGCGTTAAGTGAGTACTTTTTTTGGAAATCATTTTCATTCAAAACTTTATTTCAATTTGTAAAACAATTTTTTATCTTTTTGTTGTTAAGATGTGGGAATCGAACGGTGACCAAAGCCTATCATGTTTGCTGCAAAGAATGTGCAAAACGGGAAAAAGTGTGTGCGAAATGCTTGAAATCGGGCGATCAAGTGAATATTGAACCACCAGAGAAAACGCCCGAAGAGCAGCAACAGCTCAAAGTGGAAATGGATCGCCTGATAAAATCACTGCCCGAACGCAAACGACGAACATTCTTACGGTATATGAACAAGGGTAAAGAGATTGATGGCGAAAATGGAGTTGAAGAACAAGCGGATGATAAAAAAGAAGGTGAGACAATATATTTTTTATCAGAAAATTTTCATTCTTCAATGAGTAGGATTGATTGAATCATCTCGTGTTAATTGAATATTTTTCGCAATTCTTCAGGGGCCACAGAGAATGGAGTTGAAACGGCAAAAAAGAAAACATTTGTTCCTCACAATCGAGCAGATTTATTAAGCAAAATTGAATCGTTAAAGCTGGCCGACGATGAGGGTGACGATGACTTTAGTTTTGGTGAATCAGACGATGGCAGTGATTTCGAAGGGAGTGAATTCGATGATGATGATGATGAAGAATAGCATTTAACTATTTTGTAAATAAATTCAAAAATAAAAAATGAATGTACAACACAATTGGTTCATTACATTGACAGCTGCAACTTCACAGCGTTTGAGTGTGTTTGGTTTATGGTACTAGAATATGTGCTCTCTCTCTTATGCTTTCGAATTGAATAAGAGAAATGGCCGTTGCATTCGATGGAGAAACCAGTTTTTCGCAGAGACAATTGAATGGTAACATTTTTTTATCAATGAAATTCGTCGTCTTTTCATAGTACTTTTTCATTGTTTTTCAGATTTAGAATGGTTTTTGTGAGAAAATCCAATTTGTTCATGAAAAAAAATCGCACTCACAGTAACGAATCCCATGAATTCAAATTCGATGTGGATGAACTCTCATCGCTTGTGTGGTACTAGATTGTGCGCCACATAAAAACAGCTGTTGTCAAAATTTTATGGCAATGTAAGGAAAAAAAAAACTTTTCGCATTTAATCTAGCACTTTGTAAACAAGCGAAAACATAGCAGCAAACTCCGATCGAGCAAATGAAAATGCTTTAATAAATTGTTCGGCGCCAATTCGTGAATCGTTTAATTGTGATCGTTTCATCGCTGGATTCGTATTTAAGTGTGAAAAAAAATGATGAGTGAGTGTGCCTGTGCCATGGCTGTGGATTGAAGCTTTTTTTCTTCATTGTCATCACCCTTTTGTCACACACACAGACAGTTTGTGTGTGCATCGCATAAGTGCATTCAGTTCCCGCGAATAAGAGTCCATTTTTGTATGGCGTCACTTGCGCCTCTGCATTCGCCTACTTAGACCGTATTTTTGCGTTGTGCTCAGCATAATTGAATTTTTCAAACAGTTTCCTCGTGAATATTCCGGTGAATTTGTGCATTTAAAGTAATTTTGTTTCAATTTTAGGTCGACGGACACGTGCTGCGTCAGCCAAATCAGCAATAATGACAATGCCAGTAGGTAATGCCACCAAAATCGATGCGGTTGATCAAAATTTTGCCAGTCCAAAACGAAAAGACTGTAAACTAGACTTGGACTTAATACCGTCAGCAACAAATGGACGCGCTACAAAACCATCACCCGTTCACACTGCCACTGCCACTGCCGTCATTACAAACGGTAAACGAAACCATAAAAATGCTGGTGGATCGAAGACAAAAAAGGCGCCGCAAGCAATAACCAAATATTTTCCTACAAACGGTCACAACAACAGCAATGGCTCATTGAATGGTTCCGTCACCGAAACCGATTCGTCTGATTCAAGTGTAAAAATTAGTGAAACTGCACTGCCAAATGGTGATGTTGATGTTGTAAATGAAAAGAACGCTGTCACCGATGTTGAAGAGAAAACAGCCACAGTGCCTAATCTAAATGGAAGTGTTTTGATGTCGCCCGAAGCAAAATCACTACTGAATGGCTCAGTGAAACAAACAACGCCACATCGAATTGTGGTACGGTCGTCACCAAAAAAACAACGACTCTATGGGAAGGATCCAGTTGAAGTATTTTCTAATCTGAATATTCGTGATGGTGCTGCGAAAATTGGTCGCAAAGGGCAACAAAAAACTCGCCGAAAATTAAATGTCACCGAACCAGAGCAGCATCTAGAAAATGGCAACGGTGTGAATGGGAAGGGTTTATCGGACGATGTGAACCCAGTTGTTAATGGCAATGCCGAGAGTGGAGCGGCAAAAGTTGACAAATCTAGTTCCAAATCGAGCGAAAATATCTCAAATAAGAATGATTTCCCTGTGCCTACCAATACAGCACCGCGTCGTGTTCATAGCACTCAATTGACCGATTTCTTCCCGATCCGTCGTAGCGCACGGAAGACCAAAAAAGCCGTCGAACAAGAAATATCACGTCATATCGAAATGGCAATCGAAAAACAGCTAGAGGATGGGCTTGTTGTAAAAATGTTCCCAGAAAAAGGACGAGGAATTGTAGCAGGCCGAGACTTTCAACGTGGTGATTTCGTTGTTGAGTATATTGGCGAATTGATTGATCAGACTGAAGCCGATTGTCGCGAGGAATTGTATTCACAGAAGGTGGACTTTGGGTGTTACATGTATTATTTCAAGCATAAAGAGACACAGTGGTGGTAAGTGTGCTGGAATAATAGTGACTCGATTTTCATTCTAAAACGGTCAAAGTCATAATTTTCAATCAATTTTTGCAAATTTGGTCAAATGTCTTTGTCATTTTTATCGAATTGATTGTCTCATACTTTTCTATCATTTGCAGCATTGACGCTACAGCGGAGACGGGCAAACTTGGTCGTTTAGTGAATCATTCACGCAACGGCAACCTAATGACAAAAATCGTGAGCTACAGAAACAAACCGCATTTAGTGCTGTTGGCCAAAGACGATATCAAAGAAGGCACCGAGCTAACCTATGACTATGGTGATCGTCGCAAAGAAGCGCTCATCCATCATCCTTGGTTGGCTTTTTAGTACATTGAAATCAAACACCCATCGGCGGCCGCTGACGCCGAACTATGCTAAAGGCCTTGAGTTAAAAAAAGAAATACATCTCAATTTCGACCATCGATCATAAATCGGATTCAAATCAAGTGCTTTTAAACACACACACACACATTTAATTGTAACATATTTTGTTAAATTTATACAAGATACTGGTTACTCCGCTTAGTTTGTAGTTGTATACCAGTGGAATTTCGCTGGAATTTGTAGGTAAAAATTTGTGGCAAGCGCATTCCCTCCCCCCAAGCATAAGAACAAATAGAAAACGATGGGCTTTATCACACTTTCAACCGAATAAAACATGATTTAGTCGCATTATCTATGTGCGACACACACTGCACTTTGTTATGTATATGTTCGAAATTTTGTCATTTTCATTCGGTTTTTGTTCGTTTCATTCTAAGTTTTATTTATCATGCGAATTATTTAGCTGCTATTTTGTTTTCTTATGTTAAGAAAGTTGTGCTCGCGTCGAGAGCTGTCATGCAATATTCAATTCATTCAAAGTCATTATGCGTTGAAGTGTTCAATATGCCCCTGTTTATAGACACATAAGCCAAACACATACACTCAAACCAACAAAAGTGATCGCTGTAGGAGATGATTAGTTGCAACGGCATTACTGATTTAAATCCAATCAAACTGCCACCTATTTTTTAACAATTTCAAATTCGATCACTCGTATTAAGTACAAAGAAGACTAGACCACACCAATATCATGCCTAAATGAACTTTATTCATTTCCATTCTTTTTTTTTGTTTTGTTTTGCAATATGATATTTTATTTTTAATCTCCCCGCACATCCCTCGTCTTGTCATATGCATGTTTAACTGTAATTGTTTCGGTTTCTGCAACAACAGCAAAAAATGTAAAATTGCTCGCCCAACATCGATATTGAAATTTGAATGACAAAATACAAATAAAAGTACAGCGTGACGCATTCACAACGATTGTTTTTATTTTCTTTTTTTTCCCGAAATCAAAACACATTCGGTTTTGTTTAAAAACATTTGTTGAAAACGTGCATTTCAGTTTAGTTTGGACTTAAAGCAACACCACTCATGTTACATTCAATTGATTCGTATAAACATGGTGAGTTTTGACATTCAAATGATGAACCAGTTTTTTTGCCGGATTTTTTTTTGTTCTAACAATACTCATTTCAATGATAATGTAATAAAATGTTCGAAACACCGGAGATGTTCCCGTCTTAATTGACAATTTATGCTGCTAACGACCATTGAGGTTACCATTTCACAATAGATGCGGTGGAAATGCCTATCGAAGGGCCCATTTGCTTAAATGATGACAAAATGATCAACAAAAAGTCTGAAAAATTGTTGAAACAATCGACGATGAAAGTGTTTCACACTTGTTATCGACTGAATTCATCTGGGAAATACCGTTTCTCCTCCAATTTAGACAGCAACGTCACTTTCAATCAAAAGTGTGAAGAACATTTTTGAAAAATGTGCTCTCTTGTTATCGGTCAATAAAATAGAAAATTACACAATTTTTAAGCTGAAATTGTATTTATGTTTCACATGATGAAAAAATATCGATTTATTCTCATTTTTTGTTGTTCAAAGCAAATTTGTAAGCAAATCCGATATTGATAGAAGAAATGTAAGCCCTTAATTTGTTTCCGTGTTTACGTAAAATAAATTTGTATTAAAAATTCATTCGTCTGATATGAATTCGGCGAGTGAACATTTTTTAATGTGTGAAGAACTTTCATCGGCGATTGAAACCTTCTCGAGACGATTGATAGAGACTTTAAATAAAATGAGCCAATCAATATGGTATTTTCCATAGAAATGAACGAGAGAAAAATGTGGAAATGAAGAGAGGTTCCATTCAAAGAAGACAAAAGTTGGTTCAATAACGTTAATGACTTATTTAGCTTCAATGTGCTCGCATCAAGTACCATTTTGGAAAATCGCAAACAAATGGTAATTTCGGTGGTCAATTACACTTAATGCAAGCTTTAACTTTTCCATGGAAACCAAATCGAACGTGTTTTTCGTTCTACTTTGCAAACATTAGGAAAATCGAGGAGAAAAAAATGTTACTAATCAAGTGTATTTAAGTCCAGAATATTTATTGATACTTTCCATTTTTTGTGCGAAGCAAAAATCAGCTCAATTTAAACGCAAATCAAAAAGGCAATCCAAATGGCCAAAAGTCCATTGGTAGTGAAATTATATACGCGCCACACATAAGTACATTTTCAGTGGATTTGTTTTTTTTTCTGCTGTTGTTGTTGATTTTTTCCTCCGATCTCTCGTTTAACGCTCGCTCAAATGGTAAATTATCGCATTTAGTTCGGATAATCAAAAACAACGAAGGAAAATAAAGCCGCGGAGAAAATACAAATTATTATTAGTTTTACGTTGTCACTTTTACCCATTGATGCGTGCAGTTGTGCGTGGCCGTTGAGCACATTGTCTTTGTGTGTGTATGTTAACGACTTTCTTGTTAATTTACGATTTGATGCAGAAAACAAAGTCAATGGCTGGACTCTATCGAACTTGTTGAATAGATTTAAATTGTCTTGCGTTATAAGTTCGATGTCGTCGACAGAAAAATTACGTTGTCGTCGTCGTCATCGTCATTGACATGAAGTTATTATCGAGGCTTATTTAAATCCAGATTAGCCCCAGTAGTGTAGGAAAAATTCCATCGGAAATCGTTTTTTTTTGCGACGAGTTATCTGATGTGAAAGTTTTGAATTCTTAGATCACAAAAGAACATCTGGAGATAAAATACACGCATTATGTAGATAAATGGCTACAATGTGTGTCGTCTATCAAAAGTATTGCACACTTCGGTAATCAAAGACCACACGATGAAATGAAAACACACCAAAAACACTGATTCGGTGTCGATAACACCGTCAATTAAATAGCATAACAAGCAGAACAACATATATCTCACATTTCATTTCTTGACTCGTTCAACACTCATTTCATTTCTTGACTCGATGTGTACGACTATGCGTGTGTGGATTTGAGTAATTTTGTGACTTTATACTTTTTCGCCGCACTTTTTCGGTGTCATTGTAATTTTGGCACCGCAATACACACACACACACACTGAAAACATACCATAAACTCAACTTCATTGCTCTTGTCTTGCTTTCATTCAAATAGAAGAATGGAATTAACATTAGTCGAATTTTGGTTTTGCTTCGAATTTTATAGGGAAATTTTAGAAAAATTAGAGCATAAAATATTTGATTGTAACGCTACCAAATGAAGTGAGAGAATTGAACGAGCGAAAAATATGAAGAAGTAACAGCTGCTTGATTCTTGGGTAATTTTCTTGTATTTTTGTATCGCGTCGCGACACCAGGTCAATTCGAACCGTAATTTATACCAATGATCAATACAAATCGAGTAACATTTGAATGAGCCCATTGACGCGAATGAAACATTCGAAAACGTCGGTATTTCATTCAATACATATATTGAAGCATATATATATGCTTTTGCATGAGAACAGCCATTCAACATTGCTCACATACACGTTCTTTTGCTCACATAGTCGTCTTTAAATGAGAATACGAAACAAATGGGAAACCGATTAAGATATTTAGATACTGATCAAAAAGAAAATCAAAGAAGAAGGAAAACGGAATGAAAACAAACCAAACCCGGACGTTTCTACTGTTTTGAACTAATCTTGTTGGAACCATGGGTGGAGCCGGAAAGAAAATATTTTATTTTCAATCAAAAAACAAAAACTTTTTTATGTAAAAAAAATCAATTTAAAAAAATTTCCAATTTTTATTGGGAAAAAGAATTGTTTATGTTATCAAAAGGTCCGATTTGTGGTGTGAATCTGCCCATGTGCAAAAACATTTACGTAAACCAAAAAAATGTTGTTTTCAATTAACGATTACATGATAAAACGCCATATCCACGTAAACAATTAGTGAAAATACGTTCAACTGTCGACCAACTTAAGCTTCGGCCACGTTTCAATTGTTTCGGCTCTTTAGTCCAATCACAACATTTTGTGTTGCACAAACGAAATGTTCGATGAAAGCAGCACGTCTGAAAAAAAATGTGGGTTACGCGAAACTGACGATCTTCTGTTGTGATTGCTATCGGAATTGTGGAACTGTCAACAGAGTTTCGCGGCATCAAACTGGTTTGTTTTGTGTGTGTATGTGTGATAAAGAGTTGATTTCATACAATAAAGCTTTTGTCATGATTACCATTTTATAACGGGGTCCAGTGAGTGAATCACAATACAATTTGGTGCATGCATAATGAGTGTCATTAATTAAATTGAAGCAAACAAACCGATTGCATTCCGAGTATATGGATTGAAAACAATGGAAATGTGTGTGTAGGTATTCATCTCATTGGATTGTAAAGTTAATTAGCTGTTGAAGCTTGGATTTCTTTCAATTCGATTGCATTTGATTTAAATCGGATTTTCACGAAAACGACCGCGACCATCAATTTACCTTGAGCAACAAGTGAATTTTGGTAACTGATCAGAAGAGAGAAAAACGTGCCGATCATGGCGTTTCGCAAGAGAAGCCATCGCGAATGCAATTTTATTGATCCAATTATTTTGACCATGCGCGACATTTTTGTGAAAATCGTGCGTTTCGAGTGCCATTTCATGCGCTCGAAAAAAGCTAGGTGTTATGACGAATTCTCTTGTCTTTCGTTCAGTGAATGGCAACTGGTTATACAAATGGAAAAAAACGCACTTTCAATATACTGCAGCCGAGTTCATAATACATACATAGAAAACCGAACCATTTTTATTTGGGTTGAATACGTCTCGATTGTTATCAATTTGGTGGTTCATTAAATCAGAATCCATTTTGTATGCAAATGCTGCTCGACGATTTAATTTTCACAGAGTTCATTTTTTATCTGTGAAGTCGAGTCATTTTGGGAATAACAATCAATTAGACGATTTCTTTTATTCAAAACATGGTGGTGTACATTCGTGAATACACCACAGCAAAACAGCAACTAATCGCTTAAATGATAATTTAATTGATTAGAAAAAGGAGGAAACAAACATTAAAGGTGAGGAAAGAAAAAGTAATGACAAATTTAAACTAATATTTTTTCGATAGCCCAATGACGAGCTAAAACAAAATAATTCTTGAGATTCAAAATGACAATGAGTCACTTGTGGTCGAATATGCCTAATTTATGTTAGTGTGTCGAAGGCTATCACGAATAATTAACTTTACGCGTTTCCTTATCAACTTTTTTTCGGAATTTTTTTATCGAGAGAGTGAAAAAAAGTGCCAAACTTCACTTTCTATACATTGAAATGGCTTTTGATAGAAGAACAAAACTCAATAAAACAAAAGCAGAAAAAAACTGCGCGAAAAAAAATTACGTCCAAATGTAAACTTTATTATATTTGAACATGGAAATGGAAATCGATGTGCATACAGTAGAAGGTAAAAGTAGCGTCGTAAAAACGACACTTTAATGCGGGAAGTATGCTTTATATGAAAGGTAAGTACGTGGTGTGTGTGTACTGGTGGTGAGAATTTTTTTTCCTCCATTTCACGACTGAGAAACTCCGTAGGCAAACAATAATTCATCGGGAAAATGTTTTCATTCTCTTTACACTGCTGAACAAATTGAACAAACCCAAATCCATTTGGCATAGCAACAAAAATTGAAAGTTCACAAGTCATCGCCGCAAGTGTTCGAACAAAAAAAAACGATATTCATAATAAAATTGTCCAAATGATGAGTCATTCTGTGAAATCAATTATTGAACCGGCGAAATTCCTGCCGGCATTGTCTCCGGCGTCAATGAATAATAGGTGGAACATATTGTCGTTGTTCGATTGAATGAACTTCGAAATGAAGAAATTATGCGGCATTTTTCGCTTCGCTTGAACATGAAGAGTGAAGACGTCGAATATTGACCTCCCTGAAACTCAATGGTG